TTGTAAATTTTTTTCTTTTCTCTTCTTTCTTTCTCTCTTTCTTTCTTTCTTTCTTTCTTTCTTTCTTTCTTTCTTTCTTTCTTACATCAAATCTTAATTTTTACTTATTCACACAGGGCTTATAAACACAAATAAGAGGACATGGGGAAGGGGATCACACCAGAGCATGGGTGTTCAGGGGGAGTAGAGATATCTTTCAGAACAGATTATTGGCTGAGTGAAGGTTCAGGGGACAGGTCACTAGGATTCAGCCTATGATTTACTTGTCCTTATCTAAGTTGGAATTATCTGCCAAGGCTACCTATTTACAAGGTCTATGACTACTCAGGCTGGTAAATTACCACAAAATCTGCCTGTTTACAATAGCTTATAGCCATCTGTTTCAATGTTTTTCCACAGAGATCCAAGACTTGGTGTTAGTATACATGTATGACAGGCCTATTGCTGATTTTAGGCCTATGGTTGATTTTAGGCCTTCAGTGTATAAGCAGGGCTGCCCATGATAGCTCCTTTCTCTAAGTATAGAAGGGTTGTGTCGATTCTAATCTTGCGAAGGCAGGGATACAGGCCTGACCTCCAGTAATTGAAGGGGACTTTGTGATGCCTCTGGTCCCCCTTGTGTTGTCCAGTGAGGCATGAGAACCATACCCTTCCCCATGTCTTTTTCCTGGAGAGGGGATACTTTTGACATCAACCCCTATGCAGTCAGGGTTGTTTCTCAGGGAACCCAGAGAGGGGTTTGTAACATTTATTTATATTCATTTGCAGTGCTTAGCCTCGAAGCCTATGCAAGAATTGAGATGGCCAGTCAGAGGGGGTTCTGGGTGGCCCCTCTCTGCTAGGTCTAGGGGCAGAAGTCCCCTCTTTTAGGTTGGGTGGAGATGAGTTTTGGAAACACCCTGGATAGAGTAACAACCTCATCTTGAGTCTCATGGTCCTCCATAGCTAATTTATGATAATGTATCTGAATAGGTTTTGCTACCAAATTATTTATCTGTTGTTTGACAAAGTTAGTCAGCTATTTAAGGGCCAGAGACCAAAAGAAGTAAGCAAAAATAACCCAATTAATGGTCCCAAGATGGGAGGAGATAGGGTTCACAACCATGGAGAAGATGAGAACCAATTCTTGTACCAGCTCTCATCTTTCTCTTTTTCTCTCTGTCTTTTCTCAGAGCCTTCTCTGACCTTTCTCATGCTCTCTTTAACTGTCCCTGTCTTGTCTATGTAAAAGCAACATTCTTATTTAAGGACTGTACACCGTCAAGAGCTGTACACAGTCTTTTCTATTGTAGAAGAATAAATCAAGTCCAATAAAGTCCTTTGCAAATTTTGGAGGTCTCTTTAGACAGTGAAACTAGGGATTTCTTCAGATTAGTGATGTCAATCTCTAGCTGTTTGATGTTCTTGTCAATGGCCCTTTGAAGGTTTGAGTTGTGTAAGTTTGGAGGCCAGCATCTGGATGAGAACTTCTAACAGCAGACATCACGGGTGATTCATTTTACCTGGAAAGGGAAAAGAAGGGAATTCTCAGAGAGATTTCTCTTCCCTGGAAGTCAGTTGTTATTCACCTTATTTATGGTTGGGCTTAGCTTTGTGGGGGTATCTATTTATTTCATTAATCTCTTTGGCAACCATTTAGCTGTGCCTTCTGTGGTATCAAACAGGCTTATCAATCCTTGACCCCATAAGAGAACTGGGTCGGGCCCATTCCCTTTAAGGGTAAGAGGGTCCTTACACATAGCTCTGGCAGAGTTTTTATTGGTCTCTTTGATGCCAGAGGCAGTCAGCAGCAGATTTGCCATGAGATTTCAGTTTTAGAGAGTTAAAAATGAACAAGGCATGATTTCAGGAGATTCCTTCGGGGGAGGGGGTAGGATACCGTTCCCTCTCTTTTGTTTTTAAGGCCAATTTTTCAGAGTTCTTGTGAAATCAGGGCACAAGCACTAGAAGCTGCTCCTTCCACACTCAGAGAGTCATGAAGACATTATTTAAAGCAATATAAATCAATATTAATAATCTCTTTTGTCAAAGGACTCTTATAGAAGAGCCAGCAACTGATCAGACCATATATAATATATTAATTAATAATAGCTTCTACTTTTTGTGAGATTACTCCTCTTTTGTCAATCAATTGTTGAGGGAAATTAGAATTTACATCTCTCTTGAGAATATTAAACAGAGACTTAAATTCTTTTGTGGAGAGCTTAAAATAAGATCTTAGCCAATTAGCATCTCCTAGAAACTTTTGAAAATAATTTGAAGTAAGTAAACTCACTCTTTTTTTTTAGGACCCATTATCTTTTTTTTATTGGATATTTCCCGTATTTACCTTTCAATGTTATCTCCTCTCCCATTCTCCCCCAAAACCCCTTATCCCATACCCCCTCTTCCTATATTTCTGAGGGTGTACTTCAAACATCCTTCCAGTCCCTTCTTCCTGCTCTCGAATTCACCAACACTAGGGAATCCAAACTTTCAGGGACCATGGCCCTCAACTTCCACTGACGTCTGACAAGGCCACCCTCAATTACCTTTACAGGTGGAGACATCAGTCCCTCCCTTTGTGCTCTGAGGCTGGAGGTTTAGACTTTGGGAGGTCTGGTTGAATCTTTTGATACTCCTTCTAAAAAGGACCAAAGCACCCACACTTTGGTCTTCCTTCTTCTTCTTGAGTTTCATGTGGTCTATGCATTGTGTCTTAGGTATTGTGAGCTTTTGGACTAATATCCACTTATCAGTGAGTGCTTATCATGTGTGTTCTTTTGCGATTGGGTCACCTCACTCAGGATGATATTTTCCAGCTCCATCCATTTGCCTAAAAATTTCATGAACTCATTGTTTTTAATAGCTGATTAGTACTCCATTGTATAAATGTACCACATCTTCTGCATCCATTCTTCTGTTGAAAGACATCTGGATTCTTTCTAACTTCTAGCTATTATAAATAACGCTGCTATAAACATAGTAGAGGATGTTTTCCTATTGTCTGTTGAAACATCTTTTGAGTATATGCCCAGGAGTGGTATAGCTGTGTCCTCAGGTAACACTATGTTCAATTTTCTGAGGTACCACCAGACTGCTTTCCATAGTGGTTATACTAGCTTACAGCCCCACCAACAATGGAGGAGTGTTCTTCTTTCTCCACATCCTCGCCAACATCTGTTGTCACCTGTGTTTTTGATCTTAGGCATTCTGACTGGTGTGAGGTGGTATCTCAGTGTTGTTCTCATTTGCATTTCCCTGATCACTAAGGATGCTGAACACTTCTTTAGGTGCTTCTCAACCATTTGAGCTTCCTCAGTTGAGAATCCTTTGTTCAGCTCTGTGCCCCATTTTTTATTAGGGTTATTTGATTGTCTAGAGTCTAATTTCTTCAGTTCTTTATATACCTTGAATATTAGTTCTCTATCAGATGTAGGGTTAGGGGAGATCTTTTCCCAATCTGTTGGTTGCCGCTTTGTCCTATTGACTGTGTCCTTTACTTTAGAGATGCTTTGAAGTTTTATGAGGTCCCATTTGTCACTTCTTGATATTATGTTCAATTCTTGATCTTAGGGCATAAGCCATTGCTTTTCTGTTCAGGAAGTTTTCTCCTGTGCCCATGTGTTCCAGGCTTTTCCCCAATTTCTCTTCTGTTAGTTTCAGTGTAGCTGGCTTTATGAGGAGGTCCTTGATCCACTTGGAATTGAGCTTTGTACAAGGAAATAAGTATGGATCAATTTGTATTCTTCTACATGTTGACCTCCAGTTGGACCAGCACCATTTGTTGAAAATGCTGTCTTTTTTTCCACTGGATGGTTTTAGTTCCTTTGTCAAAGATCAAGTGACCATAGACATGGGGGTTCATTTCTGGGTCTTCTATTCTATTCCATTGATCCTCCTGCCTGTCTCTGTTCCAGTACCATGCCGTTTTTATCACTATTGCTTTGTAGTACAGCTTGAAGTCAGGGATGGTGATTCCCCCAGAAGTTTTTTTTATTGCTGAGAGTGGTTTTTGCTATCCTGAGTTTTTTGTTATTCCAAATGAATTTTAAGATTGCTCTTTCTATCTCTGTGAAAAATTGAGTGGGAATTTTGATGGGGATTGCATTAAATCTGTAGATTGCTTTCAGCAAGGTAGCCTCTTTCTTTCTTTCTTTCTTTCTTTCTTTCTTTCTTTCTTTCTTTCTTTTCTTTTTTGGTTTTTCAAGACAATGTTTCTCTGTGTAGTTCTGGCTGTCCTGGACCTCACTCTGTAGACCAGGCTGGCCTCGAACTCAAAAATCCGCCTGTCTCTATCTCCCAAGTGCTGGGATTAAAGGCCTGCACCACCACCGCCTGGCTTTTTTTGTTGTTTTGTTCTTGTTAACCTTTTTTACTATATTACTCCTTGCAATTCATGAGCATGGGAGATCTTTCCATCTTCTGAGATATTTTACTATGTTTAGGTATGGACCTTGAATTCCTGAACTTTCCAAGACTTTTACCATGAAAGGGTATTGAATTTTGTCAAATGCTTTCTCAGCATCTAGTAATATGATTGTGTGGTTTTTTCTTTGAGTTTGTTTTTTAGGGAGAGGGGAGGGTGGTGGCAGGTTCTTTATGTTTACTTCAAAAAGCCCTGAAACTCATTACATAGACTAGGCTGGTCTCCAATGAGATTCCCATATCTCTGTCTCCTGGGTGGTACAATTAAAGGCATGCACCAACACACTCAGCTTGCCTATCTCTTTTTGTAGTTAGTCATCATTCAGATCATTTCTCTGATGTGTATAGTATTGATCTATTTGTCTCTGACTGTATGGCTGTTAATAGGCCTTTCTCCTGCAAGGATGAAATGACAGGGGTGGACCTCCTTTTCAGTTTCCTTCTACAATGACCTGGTGATTACATTAGAATTTCTGTGTCATGGAGTAAGTGTGGAAATCACCAGAGTTATACGAATGCATTGTTAAAGAAGTGTATATTTAATATATTGTCAGAATTATGCTTTCTATTAAACACATGTATGGATATTTTAGGATGCACTGACATATGATGATGTCCACATTAACTTCACTCCAGAAGAATGGGCTTTGCTGGATCCTTCCCAGAAGACTCTCTACACAGATGTGATGCTGGAGACCTACAGGAACCTCACTGCTATAGGTAAGACTATGACTTTTAATCCATTTTTTAAAATATGAGGAAAGGTGTTTCTTGGTTATTGAGCTCTTCTTTCATTTTGATTGTGAAAGAGGAACAATATGGTAAATAAATCAGGCAGAGTTCTCAGGTTCATTCAGAAGAATAACTTAACTTTTCATCAGTTTTCATTATATATCATACATTTTCTGGTAATATATTTTAGGTTACAAATCAGAAGACAATAATATTGAAGAACATCTTCAAAATTCTAGAGTACATGGAAGGTAAGTTTCATGTTCATGCAAATGTGCCACTAAAGAAATCTGAGTGTGCCCTTGAAGTTTTAAGAAAACTCAGTATAAGCAAGCATAGCTTTAAGTGTATTGATGATTAGTAAATTCACACAACACCCTGTACCTCAATGTCAGGTAGTCGAGAAAAAAGTACAAGGAAACAATGACTTAACAGCTATTACATTTTAATTATATCCCCATGGGAACTGCTCTATAGAACTGCCAATTGATTTAGGGTGGTACATCTCAGTTATTGTGAAGGACATACACATAGATTAGATGATAAGTGTATGTCTAAAATCTTTTACTAGGCAAACATTCCATAATAAATCCCACATTACTCATATACATTTATTGATTTACCAAAGTATAGTGAGACGGGTAATTTATGAGATTCAAGTAGATTATGGTGTAGAAACCTTTATCCTGATATTACACCTCTGTGATGAACAAACAGTTAAACTGTGTGAATGGAATGTGGAAACCTTTCATTTTTTATTCTTGCCATAAAGATACATGTCACATTAGATCAAAGGCACGTGAGCACCTGGAACATGGAATGTGCCTTTCTCTCTCACAACAATTAGAAGATATACAGTTGTCCCGACTTTGAGTAGACTGAGAAGGGGATGTGAGTTTACAAATAATTGTGTATCCAACTTCATTGAGAATATTTAAATACATTCAAACTGCAGAAAAGCCCTTTTAGTACAAGGAACATGGACATTCTGCGGTTTGTCCTGGTTCATTTTGCAAATGTAACATGACAATATTGCAAAATGATGAGTAAAATCACTGTGGCAAACCTCTGAATTCTTCCAATTCACTTTAGAAATGTGGAAAAACTCACATGAGAAAAATGTGTCAGAAAGATGAACCATGTACTAAACGCTTTAACCACCATAGCTATCTTCCAATATACAAAAGGAACCATAATAAAGTAGAAACTTATGAATCGAAACAAGTGATACAACTTTACAATTTGATCTCTTTTTACCGTAAACTAGACAAAATTGTAAAATTAAACCATATAGATAAAAAGAGTCATCACTGTAATCAATGTGGTAGTGTTTATACGTGTCAATTGTCTTCACAGGCATAAAGGAAGTCTTGCCAGAGACAAACCCTATGAATATATTCAATGTGATAAAGCCTCTACAGTTCACAGTGATCTTCAAAGGCCTGAAAGTGTTCATTCTGCAGAGAAACCGTATCAATGTGGTAAAGCCTTTTCTTACCACAGTAATCTCCAAAACCATAAAGGAACTCACAATGGAGGAAACCCCTATGAATGTGATAAATGTGATAAAGCCTTTTCACAAAAAAGTAATCTCCAACAGCAAAAAAAGTCACATTCTGGAGAGAAACACTATGAATGTAATGAATGTGGTAAAGCCTTTTTACAACCCTGGAATCCCCGAAAGCATAAAAGAACACATTCTGGAGAGAAACCCTATGAATGTAATCAATGTGGTAAAGCCTTTTCACAACAAAGTCATCTCCAAAACCATAAAACAACACATTCTGGAGAGAAACCCTATGAATGTAATCAATGTGGTAAAGCCTTTTCACAACAGAGTCATCTCATGAGACATAAAAGAACACATTCTGGAGAGAAACCCTATGAATGTACTGATTGTGGCAAAGCCTTTTCAATGCACAGTACTCTCCAAATACATAAAAGAACACATTCTGGAGAGAAACCCTATGAATGTAATCAATGTGGTAAAACCTTTTCACAACAAAGTCATCTCCAAAACCATAAAAGGACACATTCTGGAGAGAAACCCTATGAATGTAATGAATGTGGTAAAGTCTTTTCACGACAGAGTCATCTCCAGTACCATAAAACAACACATTCTGGAGAGAAACCCTATGAATGTAATCAATGTGGTAAAGCCTTTTCACAACACAGTAGTCTCCGAATTCATAAAAGAACACATTCTGGAGAGAAACCCTATGAATGTAATGAATGTGGCAAAGCCTTTTCAATGCACCGTACTCTCCAAATACATAAAAGGACACATTCTGGAGAGAAACCCTATGAATGTAATCAATGTGGTAAAACCTTTTCAATGCACCGTACTCTCCAAATACATAAAAGGACACATTCTGGAGAGAAACCCTATGAATGTAATCAATGTGGTAAAACCTTTTCACAACAAAGTCATCTCCAAAACCATAAAAGGACACATTCTGGAGAGAAACCCTATGAATGTAATGAATGTGGTAAAGCCTTTTCACGACAGAGTCAACTCCAAAACCATAAAAGGACACATTCTGGAGAGAAACCCTATGAATGTAATCAATGTGGTAAAGCCTTTTCAATGCACAGTACTCTCCAAATACATAAAAGGACACATTCTGGAGAGAAACCCTATGAATGTAATGAATGTGGTAAAGCCTTTTCACAACAAAGTCATCTCCAGTACCATAAAAGGACACATTCTGGAGAGAAACCCTATGAATGTAATCAATGTGGTAAAGCCTTTTCACAACAGAGTCATCTCCAGAAACATAAAAGAACACATTCAGGAGAGAAACCCTATTAATGTAATGAATGTGGTAAAGCCTTTTCACAACATAATCATCTCCAGAAACATAAAAGGACACATATTGTCGAGGAACCTTATGAATGTGATCAATGTGGTAAAGCCTTTTCATAACAGGGTCCTCTCCGGAAACAAAAGAGCACACACTGGAGAAAAACCCTATGATTGCAGGGAATGTGGAAAAGCCTTTGCAGTTTTCTGTACTTTTCAGAATCATGAAAGAGTTTATACTGGAGAGAAGCCCTGTAAATGCAGTAAGGCCTTTGGAGTTTTCTATTATTTTCAACTACATAAAAGAACACAAGCTGGAGAGAAACCTTATGAATATAATCAGTGTGACAAAGGCTTTCCACATTTCTATACACTTTGAAAACATGAATTACTTACTGGAGAGAGACCCTATGAATGCAACCCTTTAGTCTGTAGTAAAGCTTTTTAAAAACAGAGTCAACACCAGAAACACAAAGTAAAACATAGTCTAGAGAAATTGTACCAGTGTAATCAATGAGGTAAAGCCTTAGCAGTCCAGAGTTACCTCCACAAACATAGAAAAACATATATTGAAGAGAAACCCTAAAAAAGAAGTGTGGTAAAGCCTTTTCACATGGTAGCCATATAATACCTAAAAGAACATTCACCAGATAGAAACCCTAGAAACATAATCAGTGTGAAAAACCTTTTCACAATTGTTATCTCTAAATTAAAAACAACAACACAAAAATATATTGGAGATTTTTTCTGAATGTAAGCAATGTGGAAAAGCCTTTCCTTATCAGAGTTATCTCTGAAAACACTTTTAGGTTTTCATATACACATACTGGAGAGTAACCTTATGAATGTAATTGCTATATTCAAAGCTTCATGTATCATTTCTGAGGTCTTGAATCCCTACTGAAGGGAATCTGGGATTATAAAGTATTTGGTAAGATTGTTAGCCGGCTACTTCCAATAAAAACACATGAAAGTATCCTGGGTTACACGAACCTTTTAGAGTGACCTTGACACTCCCCACAGTTTATCTTCCCGTATCTGCATCACCCTTGACAATCTGGTCTTCAGTGTCATCACTTGTAAATAAGCCCTACAGGAGCTTTTGTTTTATAAGTTATGCAAACCTATTAAAATAGTGATGTTCAACTATACAAAGATATCACAAAGGACAAAAGATATCAAATTAAATATTTGTTTGCTATATAACTAAAAATAGAGAGGGAGACAAGAGAAGAAAGGAGGGAGAAAGGAAGTAAGTGAGAGACAGGGAGGGAGAGAGGGAGGGATGGAGAGGGAGGGAAGGAGGGTGGTTGGAAGGAAGGGAGGAAGGAAGGCAGGGAGAGCTGGAGGGAGGGAAATGGGAAAAGAGGGAGAGAAGGAGGGAAGGAGGGAGGGAAGATTTTAATGTCATCACCATCATGGCTGTTTCTATACTCTGATACATTTTACTCTTTATAAGTTTCAATGGCCATCTTTTTATGAGATTGTTTTTATGCTATGCTCTATACTTTAAGTCCTTTCTATTTCTCCACTGGTGCCCCCATGCTTACTTTGATTCCAAGCTCATTTCACCCTTCTGTGACATTGTCCTCTAGGATTTCGAGCATTCAACATTCAATTCTTCTTGTTGTGGTTGAATGTATTGGGATTCATATGCTGATACAGTCA